AGGTATATTCTTGTATACATCGTTTCCCATTTCCACGTTCTTGTTTTTAACCAGCAAGTCAGATTCTCATCACGAGGGAAAAAAAACCCATTTTTTCCCTTTTATCTGTATGTGATGATGGATGCTACCTGCTTGTGATAATCATCTCAGGACAAATATATGTCGTCACATGCTCTACACCGTGAACTTATGTAGCACCCGGTGTTGACCATCTCAATAAAACTGAAAGAAAAATTTTCCCAACAGTTATCTCTTAGCTTATCGTGGTACGTTCCGTAGCTCTATTATTAACACACAGATAACACAACTACACACTTCCCTGTCCTTTCTGAACTGGGAGTACCTGTGCTGCGTCTAACATTTCCTTTTTGTTTGTTTTTAAACTTTCGGCGTAAAATATCCAGAAGCAGAATTGTTGGATCTTAGGGTAGTTCCATTTTTAATTTTTTGAGGCAGCTCCAGGATACCCTGGAGAACGGAGGTATGGACAGTATAAAATATCAAGATCCAAAACAATTAATAAATCATGAGGTGGTGTAAAGGAGCATAACTGTGGACCAAACCTTTGAATCTCTGAGAGAAAAGGGAAGGAAGGGAACATGTTTGAAGTTTGGCTGACGCTCATCATTGACCTAACAGACGCCACGGAGCCCAAGACACTGGGTTCAGGAAAGAAAACAGAGTCATTAGCTCTCAAGCCTCCACAGTTGAGACAAGGTAACAAAAGACTTTTCCACATATCCTTCCTTTGGTAAACTTTAAAGTCGCTGAGCACAAACAGTTGCAACTTGCTGGGAATCTTCAGATTGTTCCAAAGATGAGCTAAATCTCTCTCTCTTTGGGGATGCAAATGGTTTAATTGTGTGTGTGTGTGTGTGTGTGTGTGTGTGTGTGTGTGTGCGTGTCTGTGAGTGAGTTCTTACCTCTCCCCTCCAGTAAAAACAACTCTTCCTTAAGACACATTTGTGTCCACAAATGAAACAAAAGTAATGCATGGTCCCTAGATAAATTTGCCCAGGCTTGTAGCTGGAAAATTTTTTCTTTTTTTTTTTTTTTTTTTTTTTACAATCTCCAAACTTGTTTTATCTGCTAAAATAAACTACAGCTAATTAAAAAAGTCACCTCCAAAGGGTCCTTGAGCAATCAGTATGGACTTCTGAGGAATCCCGTTAAGATTCAAGTTTGTTCTGATCAATCGCCTTTCCACACAATCTGAATATGCTAATTTCAGAACATAACAAATGGTAAGTCTGTTATTACAATTCATTTCCCCCCAGGGACTTGCAAATCACCAGACCCACCTTCGCATTGACTTGTATCTTCATGAACGGAAACTTGGTAGACTTTATACTTGGAGAGATCCTGAAGGACCTTCCAGGGTGTGGCCCATTAATTAAAGCGGAGTAACATTTAGAATTATTGTTTAAAAATAGAAAGGAAACAGGGTCACCTAAGTGGCTCAGTCGGTTAAGCACAGGCTGAGTCAGTTAAGCATCCAGCTTCGGCTCGGTTCATGAACTCACGGTTCATGGGTTCAAGCATCGCCTCAGGCTCTGTGCTGACTGTGGGGATCCTCCTTGGGATCCTCTGTCCCCATCTCTCTGCCCCTCGCTTGCTTGTGTGCGCGCTCTCTCTCAAAAAAAAAAAAAAATAAGTAAACTTAAAAAAAAAAGGGAAATAGAGGGAGTTTATGAACTTTAAGGTGGTTATGGAAGATTGAAAAGCAAATTTTCGGCAAAATTTGCACACATATAAGTGCAAGAGTGTCCAATACTATTCACTCAAACTCTGAAAAAAAATATTGGTTGATACTGAGAGAAATAATGAGAATTAAGTGAATCAACATTCAAATCAATCACACATGGTTCAGACATGATTCATACATTCCAGCCATGTTAGAATTTATTCTATACGTATCATTTTTTCAGTTATCCTTGCTCTTCTATATATTGACTTTACTGTATTTTTGACTTAGCACCTTTAGTAATATAAACGTGCTGATATATCGGTGATTAATATGTAGATATTTCTCTATAGGTTACTTAAGTCGTAATATGTTATATAACATACCATAGAGATAGTGTATGTAATATAGAGATTATTATATGTATACATAGTATCAAATATGATTTCCCAGTGTACACAGCACATTATTTTATCTGAGCACTTATAATTTCTACTTTTTGTTTTTTTCTTAACCTTTCATTACCCTCTCAAATATCATGAATTAGCTAATTCCCACCTAAACTGATATAAATTAGGACCTTCAAAGATAGGGCTTTAGTTACTTTGGCATAATACGTCGGTGTATTAGTAGGTGCTCAAAAAAGTACTGTACAGAATTCTCACATTTGTCTGCCAAATGTCTCATTTGACTTCACATTCATGCAACATATGTTAATTGAACACCTTCTAAGAGTGTTCAATTAACATAGAATACTGCAGTGAGCAGGAAGAAAAAAAATCCTTAAGGTTAACTGTTTAAATTTTTTTTTTTAACATTTATTCCTTTTTGAGAGACAGAGAGAGACAGAGTGTGAGTGGGGGAGGGGCTGAGAGAGAGGGAGATACAGAACCTGAAGCAGGCTTCAGGCTCTGAGGGCTGTTAGCACAGAGCTGGACACAAGGCTCGAACCCACGAGCTGTGAGATCACGACCTGAACCGAAGTCAGACACTTACCACCTGAGCCACCCAGGCGGCCCAAGTTAACTTTTTAGGTTGTGTGGGGAACATTAGATGGGTGGAGAACATTGTTTCTATTTGAGAATGTCCATTCTTGACAAATACCGGCTATTCTCCCTTTCATATTGAAATTTTATCTTTGGGTTCTCTTAATTCCTTTGACTTTTCCTCTTCCCTGGCCCTTATTTGCTTATCATTCTTTACACACACCTACATAGTTGACTATCTTCTCAAACCTTTCTATTCCTCCTGGTACTGACCTTCAAGTCCAAGCAACACATACCACGTTATACTGATGGTATCTGAACCCAGAGGAGCCCATGAATGTCAGCTCTTTATCTGAATATCAAATTAGTCTTCTACCTCCTTGGCTCACAAACTGGCATCTCGCAATCAACATATACAAATCTTCAACAATCAGCTTCCCCCCAAACTAGCTTCTGTTCCTCAACTCATTTCTTCTCCACCCAAGGCAAAGCCCCTGCAGTCCCTGTTGAGTCTTGTTTTCGCAAGTAACTTTTGTTCAATAATGAGACAAATCTACCAAGCCTCACTCATGCCTGTCTTTCTAATCCCACCTATTCTGTCCTTACCCTTGAACATACACTTAGTTTAAACTTCGTCATCTCTTGCCTAGAGTAAAACTTATAGCCAGGTAATGCATGTCTCTACCTTTGGGAAACAATTTATTGAAGTCCGAGGTAGCCCGCCACACACAGGCTCATGCACTTGTTGAAAGTGGGCCTGTGTGTTCTTTTAATCAAGGAACACATATGTCATCACTGGCATATGACGTGGTTTCTCATCAGCACGTTGCCCTTCTTTTCTCCAGACCCACCTGAAAAAATTAATGCCCCCTGATGTCTGTCCGTTTGGAAAGAGATGTTGTCAGTGCCCGGAAAGTTCGTCCTGCATTTTCTCATTGCTGGGAGTTGTGCCCATCGTTTAGAATCTGGCTGTTTTTCATCTCCCTCTTCTGCTAAACATTCCCACACACATACGCCCAGGCAAGCCCTACCTTCCTCTTCTTCCGTTCCTATGACAACACGTCTATTTCTCCTTTTTATACTAATTATCACATTTTAACTGCCTATGTACTTGCTCTCTTTTTAAAAATAATTTAAGTTTTATTTATATATTTTTGAGACAGAGATCTCGCAAGCAGGAGAGGCTCAAAGGGAGAGGGACAGCGAGAATCCGAAGCAGGCTTCTTGCTGCCCGTGCAGAGTCAGGGATTGGGCTCAAACGCAGGAAACCGTGCGATCAGGACCTCAGGTAAAACCAAGAGTCAGGTGCTCAACCATCTGAGCCACCCAAGTGCCCCTTGTTGTCTCTCTGAAAAGACTGCATCACACCTGTTCTTCGAGGTCCTGGTGTTGCTCACGTGCACCTTTTTTTTTTTTAATTTTTTAGCATTTACTCAGTTTTGAGAGACAAAGAATGAGTGGGGAAGAGGCAGAGAGAGAGAGGGAGACACAGAATCTGAAACAGGCTCTGGGCCATCAGCACAGAGCCTGATGCGGGGCTCGAACCCACAAACTGTGAGATCATGACCTGAGCTGAAGTCGGATGCTTAACCGACTGAGACCCCCAGGCGCCCCTGCTCACTTGCACCTTGAGATGCTTCACCTTGAATATCATGTCTATTCCAAGATACAGGATCACTGAGTCAGGAGATGGACGACATCCGTGAGCACCATAGACACGCTGGCATTTCCATCTCCCATGACCTCGGGCTTCATCACTGCCATCAACTTAACTTACAGCTATCCAAGATTTTGGAAAATATTTCGATATTTGCACGTGTGGGGGGCGTAGGTAACAAAGCCTGCGGGCAAGAATTCACATGACAAATAACACATGCACCTGTGCTGAACTGCCCTGTTTAGAAACAACCAGAACTTGGTGTCCCCTGTAGATCTTTATGGGGGACCCAGCTCATCTCCTTCAGCAACACGCTTTGCTGTTTTCCCCAAATTAGTGTCCTGACACCGGCAAATCCTCACGGGCGGGTCTGCTTTCACGTACAAACGACCTTTCTTAGCCGCTTAGAAAAGGCAGGAGGAAAATGTGCGCTGCGCCTTTAAGGCAGGTGTTTGGAAGGTCAGTTTCCTGTGAAGCCGACCAGGAGCATCCTTCCGGCCTCCGACTGCGCCTGCGTGGAGAGCTGAGCCGGACCACGCTCGCTCCCGGGAGGAGTCGGGTCTCGCGAGAGCGCGCAGGGAGTCTCAGGGCCAGAAGGGATCTCGCAGGGTCTCGCGGGATTCCAGGAAATGACAGAAGCCCGCAGAGACTCCTGGGAAAAAGCTGGCGCACGTGCCGTGCCGGTGATGCGCTCAATGCCCCAGCCTGGTTAATTGAGTCCTAACACCGGAACCTGTGGTGTGGCAGGATCTCCGAGCCCGGGTAGAGACGGGGGACCGTCAGGGGTGCCGGCCGCGGAAGGGCGTGCCCACGGGCCGTGCGGGGACACACCTCCGCGGAGTGAGAGGTGAGAACCCCACTGCGGTGCATCCGGGGTCTTCCGTAGACGTGGGCCAAGGCCTGTGCGTCGGTATGAGGTCCAGAGTACCCCCAGTGGGCCCGCATAGACCGGGAACCCTGTCCCCTGTGCCGTATCCAGAGTACCCCCAGTGGGCCCGCATAGACCGGGAACCCTGTCCCCTGTGCCGTATCCAGAG